TGGTATTTGAGAATACATTATGCTCCATGTATATTAATTTCCCTATGATAAACATGTTCCATAAACTGTGCTAAATATACCAAAAGCCATTATTGTCTTTTATGAAAAGAATATTTTTAAAAAACAAATGTCCTTACAATATACAGCAAAATAGCTCTATCTGGAATCCATGTATTGCCTACATTCATTAGCACAATTGACATAAGTGGACTTGTTCTTATAAGGGTTACCACAGAAATGAGCTTAGACCTATTACATGAATTGTTACTGCTATTAAACAGTCTACTTCAGTTTCATTTGTGTGTTTTTAAGAATCTTTGAATATTCAGGAGAATAAAACTACCTTGATATTAAAATTAAGTCTAGAAAGATTTTTTTTTTTTTTAATCAAACATAAGCTTATCGAATAAAATGAAGCAATAAGTTGTGTGGCACCCACACACTGCATAAAGTGAGCATTCTCTCCAGGCTCATGTTTTTATGATTGTGTGTGCTATTCTTTCAGGCAGGCAAATGGTGCACAGCTGACTGTATAATGAAATTCTATATATAAATATGAAAATTCCAATAACRGAATGATATTAACCTTTAAAGTTAGGCAAGCACTTTACACTTATAATATGGTGCTTTCAAACATTTTTACATAAATGTGCAATCATGCATTATTTCCTCATTTTTCAGGAGACATATAGTGTGTTACATGAGGAAGAAAGAGCCTAAGTCATCTTTTTAAGATACACACATCCTTTCTAGTGTGTAATTATAGGAGTAGGTAAAAAGGGGGTTTTAATAGGAATGTACAATTGCATTTTAATTTTATCAACCTGAACCAACACAGACACAAGTATTGACACATGAGTGTATTTTGTGTGTGTGTCTCTGTGTGGGGAGGGAGGGCAAGTCAGTCAATGACAGCAAACATCACGATATTTCAGCATGTGTGACTCTCTAAAACAACTAGCTGAACTCCTAGTACAGAGACTACATCACCAGCAACTGCTTCACCTAATGAAAGACAAGTATTTGCCAAGATCAAATAGATTCTAGCCCCATTCATGTGAGCTATGCGAGTGACCTCACTGTAATCTTGTTAGGAAAAACAAACATTCAGGATACTATTCATGGGAAAATTTCTGGATGCAAATTCTATCCATAATGTGGTGCCTTTCGATTGGAAGCAATTCATGGGACAAAACCTTTGAGCCACTACAAGACTGGCAGACAACCTGTCAAGCTTTTCTATAATATGATCTAGGAACAGATCTTCTTGTATCCATTCTCAACAAAAGATTGAATACAGAAAGAAAATAAACGTTCTCTTCCACTTTCTTATTTAGTGAATYTAAGTGATACATCTTTTTTTGCTGTTGTTGTATAAATAAGAAAAAGAGAGGGTCAGATTGAAATGTCATGGATGCGCTCTTGGTGAATTCTGGGTATAAAATATGAGAGGGGTCGAACAAATCTTTTGGGAGAAAATGACAGCTCTCAGTTTTTCATCCTGTCAGCTAACAACTGAAATTTCACTGAAGGGTACTGCTAGAAAGATTTGTGAGTCTCTGAAGGAAAAAGAAGGATGAAAGATTTTAAAACCTAGAGTACATATCTAAGATTTTATGCAGTACAAGACTGTTCTAAAAATGCTTTTTTGTTTCTAAACCTCAAATGCTTAGGAACTCTTTTAATTTATCTGACAAATGAATATATATCACCCTCTGTTTATTCCCACATGTATATAAATATCCTGCTCTTCACACAGAGTTTGGAGCTCGGTATCTGTAAGAATGTTCCCAAATCCTTCAGATTTTTTTCACGAGCAGGATGATTCCATAAGAATAATCCTTTCAAGGATCAAGCTCTCTCAGATGAGCAATATTTCCAGTCTTTCTTATAAACATTTCTTAAATGCTACTGATCTGTTTGGGGGGGTCAAGGGATGCCAGGCAGGAAGTTCTTCATGTTCTCCTCTTCAATATTTCATTGATCTTCTTGGAATCATGAAACAAAAGAAATGGGACTTCCTATTTTCTTTCAATGCACAAGGTGAATAACTTAGATGGTATAAGGTGAGAGAGTCTATCGTCTGTTTCTTGCCTTTTCAGAAGTCAGGAAAGAAGAAAAAAAGTTCAGCCAAGAGTTAAAGTATAAATATAGATGTTCAAATAGACTTAGAAAAAGAGATCAAGTACATCTTAACAGAGAGCAATCTAAGAAAAAGATGAGAAACAATATGTAAAAAAATTTAAAAAACTAATCAAAAAGACAGTGACTACGAAGAAGAGAAATTTAATTCAATATTGACAAGCACCAGTTAGTATCTGCTGGAAGAAATAACCTGGAACTTTTAACATGTATATAAAATAATTTCTTACACTATTCTTTTACTATTTACATAGTAGATCCTAAATTCAAGTGAACTACTCAGTAAGATTTGGGAACTTGTCTGGACAGCCGAAGATAAATGTTTGTTCATTGGGCAAAATATTAGGCAGGAATTGGAGGGAATATTTCTAAATCTTTGGGAAAATGGAGACATTCCTTCTACATAAGGCAAACAGCTCTCTCTTCTTTTGCAAGGAGCTGGATTGACGCCACACCTCTAACTAAAATCAGCAATGACCCAATTTAGCCAAGCATTATGGTCAGAAGGCAAAACAGGACAAGGTTCTGAATTTTCAAATACACAGAGGAATCTACGAATACCTCAAAAATTATATGATTACCTTAACAGTCTAATAAAAATCATTACTAAAAGATCAAAAGAACTGAATAGTACGGCTCTCCTCTTGTAGAAAACAGACTGAGAAGAACAATAATGATGAATAATTATTAACACAGTTTTTCACTTTTGTTTATCTTTCTGATATATTTCTTGTTCCATTATAGGTAGTATACATAAGGAAGGTAGTACCTAAACAGTCAAATGTGCCTGTGTTCCAAGTATGATGAAAGAACTGGAAAGCCTGTCAGTCTAAATGGGCAGGCTTTAGCCATAGGTACTTCGGAGTTCTCATCAATGATAGACTGATCCTTCTATTAATGTGTTACTTATATAATTCACTCTTTATTCTGAAACCTTAAAGTATGTGCTACCTACAAAACCAACATCTGCTGATCTAGAACAATGGAGAACAGTACGTGGAGTTTGACTGAAAATTAATATTCAATATGACTGGCATTGATAAGCAGCAAGAGAAAGAAAATAAATGCCATTTGCTCAAGCTTTTACAAATCACAACTTTGCCACACTCTAGATGCAGTTTTATGCCTTACATAAAACATATGAAAACACATACTTGTTTCAAAATGTTCCAAGAAACATTCCGAAATGAAAGACAACAAAATTTCACTAGCTATATTCAAGAAAAATAATGAATCATCTTGAAGCAAAAATTTCTGAACATTTTAAGTCAACCTCCAAGTATTTCTATTTTGTTCTTCCAAAAGAAATAATACAGAGTTATGTTGCATTTATGGTAGCTCATATGAGCTACCATACTAACTTACAGATACTTCCTATGATATCAGGCAAATAAAAATTGGAAATTTTCTAAAATCTCTTCCTATGGGGACATGTTCCAAAATGCTTAGAGACTATATTTTCAAAAAACATTTCTCAAATGTTGGAGGGCTATGACAGAAAACACTGTCCTTAAATCTGTAAACTCATTCATTGTCAACAATGACAATGAACTTAAATGAATGAACTTAAAATTGTCAACAAAATCATCTGATCAACACCAGAAATGCAAACAAAAATTGCTGCATTTGGTCACAGTACAAAGCTACAAAACATTATTTTTAGCGAATTAAATGCAGAGACAAATTCAAATGAATTTTTAATGAGCTTTAAAATAATTTGCAAATAATTTGCAAGTATTAATAGATATATGACCACTTTAATCAAAAAATATATTTAATAATATTCACATGAATTAAATAATATATAAACAAAATAACTAAAGCTGTATCATCTTTCTCTGTAGTACTGCAAAACTAAGCCTGGGCATGAGTACACTATAATTCAATTGAAGGAAACTGGTAAATGAGTTATCTAACTCTTTTAAAGAACTCATAGACTTGCAATAGATTTCCAATTGCAGTGGGGTGGGGAGGAAATTTAGTAAACCATCAGGGTGCCAGTATACTAGGAAAAATTAATTAATTAGACCAAGATTTGGCTTGCTTAATTTGTTTAAGAAATTTAGATTATGCAAGAAGATTCTAAAAATTATCAAGATCAGATGCCTCAAGGGAAAACAATAATGTTTGAGGACTTTTCTTTATAAGAATAAAATTAAGCACAACGAATATCAGTATATGTTGTTTGAATCACGCTGTTTATATACAGCACTCAACACAAACCTCGGATTAATCTCATCTAAGTTTAATCAGTTGTAAAATAAAAATAAGAACAAATATTTAGACTCAATTGCCCAAATAAATGATACCAATTTACACTTCAAAAGAGTAAGGTGACCTTGTATATAAGTATTTACTGAACAGTTTCAATTGTGCCATGATTTTAATGACAAAACTACTCATATCAAAGCACTAAAACTTTGCTTAGAATTAGAATATTGGCAAAAAAAAAAAAAAAGAATTTGCAGAGGGCTCTATCCTGCTGCCTGTTTCAAGGCTTTAATAGCAGTTGCAAATAATAAGAGAACAGAATAGCTTCCAAGTTTGAGATGATATGATTCGGTGTTCATTTTACTTATCAATGTTTTTTTACAGCACTATTTTCAGTATTTGAGAGCTTAATATTCCACTAGAAAGACAATTTTGCTGTCTGTAATTTAATACTCTGATTTCTGTAATTTTTAACCAGGAAAGGAAATTTTCTTCTTCCTTTCCTCCTCAAAACTCCAAACAATAGATGGTACGTTCAGAGAGAGATCTAACTGTGCAGACAGGGCAACGGGTAGGTGAGATTGTTCATTAAAGCTCTCATTTGTYGGAAATTAAAGTCACCACAATAATCTTAAAGTCACTGATACCTCTCTCCGTCGAGAAGCCCAACAGGTTTGTTTGATTTTCCAAACGACAGCAGCTACCAGCAGTAAGGATAAGAAACAACTGCAATTACAAAAAACAAAAAAACAAAAACAAAACAAAAGTAATTATAACATCACACTCTGAAAAAACTCATATTTTTAGAGTATAAATAAAACACATTTAAGCATAGTAAAAAACACATATGCAGAGGATAACTGAACTCTTCCAGGATGACAGAGCGCTGTCAGTCCTTCAGATTAGAGTTAAAAATGAATGCACACCACTGATGCTAAGATTATCTCCATATAATACTACTGTCTCCATTATACCCACAACCCACTATATATGCACATAYATCTCAAAAAATACACACTGCATGTTCCAATTTCAGAAAATGGATCAAAAAAATAAAATAAAAAAAGAAAGAGGTGTGGGGGGATTGATCTATAGCAAGAAATTATACCAAATCATATTTCTCTCCTGTTCATAATTCTGAAAAATTGCATGGGGTGCAGGGATGATAACTGCATTGGGAGCATAATCAGTCCAAAAAATATAGTTGTCATATGACAATAGATCTGTTTCATCAAATCAATTATTTCTATAAGGAATCTGTCAAGAGCAGCATTCCAGAGAACATCACCACATTACAGACCTTAGAGCAGAAAAAAAAAGTATCAAAATTAACTAACTTAYGCAGTTTGCAATGGCTGCATATGCCTTCTGCCTTGCTCCACTTCTCCCTTACTCAAATATTTCTACATTAGTAACATTCAGTCCACCAGAATTTTGGCAGAAAGACCATTGGACTTTTCTCTTATAGTGAACTTCTGGATGCTAATGAAAAGCTTCAAAACTCTCAGCTTCAAAGCTGAGACTATATGTGAGGTCAGCACATTTTTAACTGATTTGGACAGTTTTTATAAAAATATAAGAATTTTCTAGCTGTATGAACTTTGAACATCTGCTATGCAATTAATAAAACCTTGTAGCTGTTAAACTATATTAATCATCTTTTAAAAAAAAAAAAAAGCTTCCACATGTATTCTTTATCTATTATAGGAAATATCAAGAACTACTTTAAGTAACATAACTGAGTGGAATGCTTCATGTAATGCAAAGCATGATCATTATCTAGAGTAATGCTACTTTTTCTTCCTATTGTGCTGTAACCAGAACTGAAATTATGGCCTAGAAGTTACATCACCAGAAGCAGCAGCTCATGTCATTCAATATTTACCCATAATAGAAAGCCTACTGGAAACCAGTTTATGGTAACTGTGCCATAATGACACTATTAAGGTAATGTGGTTGACAGAAATTGGAACGAAAGCACCCAATCGTTCTGTGGTCTGCAAAGCATCAGAGAATTATCTGCACCATTGGCTCAGACTATGTACAAAATTCAGTCCCCATAACTGACAAGAAGTTTTACTTGACAATTAAAGTGAAATAAATTATCACCATCTTCATTTAAAACTCCTCACTAGGAACTCTGTAGACTCTTGTTTTCTCCCACTTCTTGAGGTACCCTTGAAACAATCTGCCAGAGTGACAGCGAGTTTGAAAGACAGAAGTTCCATATATCGAAAGTGCTCTGGATATCAAAAAAAGCTTAACTACATAACTAAAACATCTTGTTTTTTACTTAACAGACTTAACTAACTACTTAGCAACAAAATGGCTGACTGTCCTGAATATGAAGTGAAAAACAAAATGGTTAAAGGTTCTGTTTCTAAATGTAAAATTTGACTTTTTCTTAAAGGCCAATATCAACTACCAACATTTTTTTTTCCAGAGATTTTTAATGCTTTTTGGGGACTTAGGAATTCTTAGAAAGAAAGATAAGTTCCCTATCCTTCTACTTATAGGTGCATTTTTTTAAAGTGTGATTTTTCTGGTTCTTAGCACAGCTCCTTCAAAAACCAAAGGTACCCTGAATTTTGACTGTTTCTAATCAATAGATCAGAACAGTTCAGCATATCAGAATCATCCTGACGAAAGAAAACTGGGGAAGGAGACAGCTAATGAGCTGTAATAAATGGAAGCGAGAGGGCAAGTGCTGGTTCAGGAACCTTTGGGAATTTAGAAGAGAAATATCAACCTTTTACACATTAATGAATCAGAGTGTAAATCATCTTTCTACATAGGTCTTCATTGAAAAGAACTAATGCAGTAAGGACATTTTAACTCATACACCATTTTATTAACATAGTATTTCTTTCTAAGAGTTTTTTATGGCAAAAGATCTAAGCGCCACACTTTTGACAGAAGTTGACCATCAAAGAACAGCCACCTCTTTGTTTAATCCATCACTTGATTTACTGAGATCACTTCTTAAAATTTGTCTTTAGCTGTCTCCCTTTCTCTAGTTTTCTTTGAAATCCATCACAAGTTGACCGTGAGTTTATATTTGGTGTCTAGGAAAAAGCGGAATAAAAAACCCTGCTGACCAACAGAATAAATCCCCTTTTGCAGCAACTCCTTTTTTTGCTTTTAAGACCAAAAGCTGCTGACAAATAATACTTGCCAGAAGCAGTAATATTTCCAAAATACTGTACAATCTGGCCAATATCTGCCGCAGACGTTTATGAGCAAGATAATGCCAGAGTACTGATGCGCTGCTCTACATTAGCATGCTGTGAAGGAAGTAATGGTATCCTATCTCACTTTTCTCCACTACAGCCCTTCCAGATAATAAATTAGGGAAACATTTGTAATGCTGTTTAGAATGGCAGACTTAAAGGTCCTGGAATCTGTAAAAGCTGAACACATTTAAGAGAGCTATGCAGAAGAAACTAAGACAAGCTTGCACTGTGCAACAGCCTCGTCACTGCCAGGAATTGAACTCCTTTAAAGAAAGAAACCTTTCTATCTTTATTAGCTTCTTGAATGTTTCTGTTGAGCTATTTGAATAAAGAGCTGAGGTTTTGTTTGCAAAACTTCAGCCAAAATTTACCCTGTACATTAATGGAAGCAGATCAGACATCTATGTTTCCTCTCACTAGTCAAAATCTTCACATGCAAAATCAAGATCAGAAAGAGGCATTCCAAGAAGAGACCTATAAAATAATACAAATAATTTGGAAATTACATTGAAAAGACCCACTGTTTAGTTAACATTTTTGTGTATCTTTTTTTGTGTATCTTTTTGTGTATCTTTTTTTGTGTATCTTTTTGTGTATCTTTTTTTGTGTATCTTTAACTCTCCAAAAAAAAAAAAAAAAAAAGGAAAAACCATGAAACGCTTGACCATTCTCCTCTGTTTTCTATACAAGCAATCATTTTCTTTTTGTTTTCATGAAAAATTACATGGAAAATATCTCAAAACATGCTAATGAAGTAAAGCAAGTTTTGTCAGACTAACCTGGTTTCAAGACTATTGTGAGATAACAGCTTTCGTTTATTTRGGGCAATAAAAAAAAGCTGACTGCAAAGGATCTCACAATATTGAGCGACTAGGCAATAAAATAAGAAAAAGAAATTCAGTACCAGTGAATATAAAGCAATATGCATGGAAAAAAAAAATCACTAACTATAAATACACAGTGATCAATTCTAAATTAGCAATCATCGCTCAGGAAAAGTCTTGAAGTCATTGCAGATGGTTCTTTGAATGAAACAGCTCAACGTTTAGTGGCAGTCAAAATAGCAAATAGAACATTGGGAGAGATTAGACACAAAATAAAGAACAAAACAAAAAACAAGATGTCAGCGCATAAATCTATGACATGTCTGCATCTTGAAGACAGCCAGAAGGGCACATCATCTCATCTCAAAAGGAGTAARTTGAATTAAATAGGTATAAAGGGGTATAATCAAAACGGTTAGGGGAATGGAATGGTTGTATAAAAACACTCTTTTCAGTTTTGAAACTATAAGGAGCGACATGATGAAGATATAACACCATATGAATGGGCGCATAGCAAATAGAGCTGTCCACAGTGGGAGAAAAAAAAAAAAAAAAAAAGGAAATGTGTAATGTGGATATCAAGTCCTCAGCACCAGCTCTGAATATCTTCTCCCAGTTGGCCACATTGCCTACTAATGGAGGAATAGCATAATCACCCAAAATATTGCTTTTATAAAGGTATTCGGGTATAGAAATATYACTGAGTGTGTATCGGTATACGCATATACTTTAAAAGTTCCTCCTAAGTCTTTTTTGAAAAAAGGACACTGGACCATCAAGAAAACTGCTGCTTTGTTACTTAAACCTTGTTATGCTCGGTGTGACTATGGTGAAATATCTCTATAGATCCACAAAGAACGTCCCTTGATTTCAGTATTTTTGTGACCAGTACAAGAAGTCTTCACAAGACAGTAACCACATCAACGATCCTTACATTGTATTAATGTAACTAATTAACTAATTCTCTTTCATTCTAACTGTAGCATTTTTTAAAAATGAAAAAAACTGAAAATCTGTAAGAACTAATGAAATAAATCTTGTCAATGTTCTTACAGGCAAATGAACAATGAGTCTCATATGTAAGTTAATGTTTTTAAAATAACATTGCACAAATTTGCAAACRGATCACATATATTGTTTTCCTAATATTTCATTACAAAAAAGTTTTTATTTGTTTTATCAGCAAATAGAGCATATTTCAATTGTTATTTTATAAAGCTAGCATAATATTGAAATAAAAATAATTGAACAATTATTTTTTTCTGAAACCTGACTCTGAAAAGCAATTATTATCACAGCAATTTGTTTGTCCCATTGTACTTGACAAGAATATTGTGTTCATGATTATGATGTGATCGATTCAACCATCCTTGCTTGTGTTAACTAATACACCTGACATGCAGCTCCAAAGATTTCAGGAGGATTATCTGAAGTTCAAAGCACTGTAAGCAGTATATTAGGAGTCTATGATATGTACGAAAGTCATAGAAAATTTGTAATGTTTTTAATGCTCAGCGATGCAGGTTTTGCAAGTATTCTTACATATAGGAACATTTCAATGATTAGCAATCCTAAATTATTTTGGAAATGAAATGTTAGGGTTCCAAATTTGCAGCATGTGTGTCTGAAAGGGGCAGGCAGCCCTGTCTAGTAATTGCGTAGGACGTGC